TTGGATCAATTGGTTAGCTTTATATAAACGAAGGAAATAAAGACCTGCTAAAAATGATATAAGACAAAAAAGACAATATTTCAGTCATTTTTTTAAGGTGGAACATTTTGTTTTTAAATTTAAGACTTTTGAAGGCCCCGCAGACACCCTACTTGTTACAATATATGCAAGCTACATGTATACTACATGCACTGCTAAAGAAATAAATAAAATAGGCCTGTGAGCAAACAAAATGTGTCAACTCGATGTCCACATTTTTTATTGTAATCAGTTGTTTGCACTGCAGTGTGCCTTGGTTTCAATGACCCCAGTGCAACACAAAATTCAAATGAATTGTCATTTTAAATCTTTTAAAATCATTTAAATCTAAAACTACTAGGCTTTACCCTTTTGTCCGCAATATTTTTTTTCCGTATGGAGTTTGCATGTTCTCCCCATGGGTTTCCTCCGGGTGCTCCGGTTTCCCCCGCAAGTCCAAAGACATTTGGTTTAGGTGAACATATGACACATATTTAGAAACATATGCTGGATAAGTTGCCAGATCATTCCGCTATGGTGACCCCAGCTTAACTAAACTGAAAAGAAAATGAATGAATATGTTTCATCGAATGACAGCGGAATATTATTTTACCCCTATTTTGACACAATGTTGTCACAAAAGTTACAAAAAATAGACTCTTCTTGCATTTATTATGCTTTCTATCAACATAAAATAATATGCATACACCAAAATGAAAAATCTTTTTTATATGTAACTATAAACGTTTTGTATTTTCATTTTATTTCTGTATAAAACCTTTAGCCCAAGAAACAATAAACGTTATACCCTACATACACTAAACATTCTTTAGCTCAGTTTCAGTAGCGCTCATCACCATTAACCAGTCTCAAAGAGCACCTGCAGGTGTTTACCTATAGACAATTAGTCTCAAGCTGAACATCTTCACAAATGCTGCTGTCAGGAGCTTCACTGTTTGTTCGCCACCTTTCCCTATCATTACAGGGGAAATGAAAGCCTCAGTGGCATGTGCAGAGGGGGAGAGGGGCCTGCGTGCTCAAAGGCAACTACTTATCTCCTTGAGCGAAAATTACATGTTTGCCGCGTTCTCTCTTGTTGGAAAAAGACTGCATATTTAGGGTTTAGATCTCAATACATTTTTTTTATTTCTCTATACTTTTGTAAGGTGCAGGGTGATCCTGATGATAATGTGTTTCAGATTGTCAGATGATGATGCTCAAAGGGATGAAAAAAAGAATGAGAAAATAAAAAGACTTGGGGCTTGAACACAATACTGATTTCATGGTAATAATATTACAATCCTCCAACAACAGCTACAAAAGAAAGTAATGTTCTGAATTTGTCATAAAGTGCATACTGAACCATGCATTCCAGCTCATTATAATATATGAATCTCACAGTCTAATTATGTATGTATGTCCTCAGGCAGGACTCGATAAAAAGAAAGAGGGCAAGAATTCAAACGCTAAACCAACTTAAACCAGCTATCTCAGCCACCCACATCTAAATCTTACGGGGCTCCAGTTTGACTGACTCACTGTAAGCTCTCCTATTAGTCTTCATTGTGCTATTACTTTAATAATGCTGTTTTTTGGGCTGGAGTCCAACTCTGAGAAACATCTCCGCAGTTGGATATGTTATATAAAAGAGGTAATTCACAATCACTAGGTAATTATCTCATAAAAGAAACTCCTATGAGGTGAGCAGGACTTCTGCTAAAAGAAACAACCATACTAAACACTCAGCCAAACAACAAGACAACACTACAACAAGATTACAGTACTACAGCCTATAATTAAATCCTCTGGAATGTTTTTCACTTGTCAATCCCTCTAAATAAATGCTGTACTGTTTCAACACAAATTTGGGTAGAATGTGGATCTGTTGAGTTATATTGCATGGTGATGAAACTGAAAGTTTGTGTTTTCATTATGAGAAACATGAAAATAGTGTCATATACTAAATGGAGTCTGAAAGTGCTAATTCAATTCAACTCATGTTTATTACTCATGCTTTTACAATGTAGATTGTGTCAAAGCAGCTTCACATAGAAGTTCTCCAGAACACATGTACTGTTGTTCAGCAAATGCTGTAGTTATAGTCTGGTTATTTCATTTCATTTCCATCAAAGTCAGCAAAAATCCCAACACTCTGCTTCAATATAAGAATAAACAAAAGATGTTTATGGTCTGTTTATGGCCACTTTATTAGGTAAACCTGTCCAACTGCTTGCCAATCACATGGCAACAACTCAATGCATTTAGGTATGTAGACATGGTTAAGATAATCTGCTGCAGTTCAAGCCAAACATCGGAATGGGGAAGAAAGGTGATTTAAGTGAGTTTGAGCATGGTTGTTGATGCCAGATGGGCTAGTCTGAGTATTTCAGAAACTGCTAATCTTCTGGGATTTTCACGCACAACTATCTCTAGGATTTACAGAGAACAGTCTTAAAAAGGGGAAATATTCAGTGAGCAGCAGTTCACTGGGCACAAACGCCTTGGTGATGCCAGAGGTCAGAGGACAATGGCCAGACTGGTTCCAGCTGATAGAAAAGCAACAGTAATCAAATAACCACTCGTTACAACAGAGGTATGCAGAAGAGTATGTCTAAAAGCACAACATGTCGAACCTTGAGGCCGATGGACTACAGCAGCAGAAGACCACACCGGGTGCTACTCCTGTCAGCTGAAAACAGGAAACTGAGGCTACAATTCACACGGGCTCACCAAAATTGAACAATAAAAAATTGGAAAAATGTTGCCTGGTCTGATGAGTCTCCATTTCTGCTGCAACGTTTAAATGGTAGGGTCAGAATTTGGTGTCAGAATTTTTGATGGCTACTTCCAGCAGGATAATGCGTCATGTCATAAATCACAAATCATCTCAGACTGGTTTCCTGAACATGACAATGAGTTAACTGTACTCTAATGGCGCCCACAGTCCCACAGCTCAATCCAATAGAGCACCTTTAGGATGTGGTGGAACTGGAGATTCGCATCATGAATGTGCAGTCGACAAATCTGCAGCAATTGAGTGATGCTATCATGCCAGTATCGACAAAAATCTCTGAGAAATATTTCCATTACCTAGTTAAGTCTATGCCATGAAAGATTAAGGCAGTTCTGAAGGCAAAAATGGGTCCAACCTGGCACTAGTAAAATGTGGCCATTATATTCACACATATATATGCACTTACAACTCTGTATATTCCTTGCTGTAGGCCAAAGTCGATAACTGTGTACACTATAAAAAATAAGGTGAGTTTACTTTTTTTTTTAAAGTGAGTAAACCCATTGCTTTTAAAGCAGGTAGTCGACTTTAGGTTACTGCACGGTGCTCATAAACATGCGCAATACACTGACACTGAGAAAAAGAAACTTGTTATTTTGTTTCACGTGTGCACAAAAGTTTTGTCATAGCTTGATAAAGTTCAGATTTAAAATATAACGACCCTCTATTCTTTCCCATTTCCTTAACCTTTCTCTATTCCAGCTTGTGCTTTTCAAACTGATGTCTGACTCTTTGTATTACTGTACTTATATAATTTTTTCATGACTTTTATTTCTTCATGTTGTTTTGGATTATATGGATGCATTAGCTATTTTTAAATCTTGTTTCAAACTTATAATTACAGCTTTGAATACAATACTTCCAACAGGACTTGAGCACAAAATTATATACAGTGTCATCACTAGATAATGTTGTATATATTGAATATATGAGATATTTGCTGAGTTTTTGTGATGACGGACAAACCCAGCTGCTAATAACTCAATCTAAACCCTCAAGCCATCAATCACATTTAATGGCTTATGCCTTGTGAAAAACATCATTGAAGAATCACTGCGAGGAAATCATTTACTTGGTACAAGAACCCATGCTTAGGAATGGGTAGAAAATGTAATTGTTGTGATGCTGTTATAAATCTTGCCTTATATTTAGCCGAACCGAACACATCCACCAGTCGCAAGCCAATTGTGATTGCTAAGTTTCGTCAACCACAGTCTGTTTGTGTTGATAATTCTGTCCCGAAGTCTCCGTTTCTGAACCTAAAAAAATGTCGCCAACATTCGCAGCCGATGACACCGCTCATTCACATAATAGCTCAATATGATGTATTGCATTAACAAAATGCCATTCATGATGAAAAGCACTCAGCCACTTTATAAATCTGATCTCTCTGGGTCAGTTTTGATTTATAGCTGGCTATAGATTAAACATTTCCAAAGACTGGAAGTGAATTAGCTATTGATCCTTTACTGGTCTAGGTCAAATAGTGCAGCATGTGATTTGTGAACTGTGAAGTTTTAGCTGGTTAAAGAAATGAGATTACTGTATCCTATTAAGGCTAATAAGCAAATGATATAGATGACTTTGCTGAGATTTCAAGCACCATCTTCTTTTCATAATATGCAGTCGACATTTGCAGATTTTCAATAATTTGTTATCCCATGATAATAAACATGCACAATGCATTGAAAAAGTATTTATTATTTAAACGTTTACAGTGCCTTTTAAGAATATTCAGATTATATGGTTGAAGATTTAATAGGCTGTTTTTTAAAATTCAGTGACTAGTTATAGGCCATTTGTTTATTAACTGTTTTATGTGTTAACATTCATAAATTTAACTGAAGTCAATGTAATGGCAGCTACTACAAAAGCATTTATTAATCTCATATTATTTTTAGCTAAACCACATTAATGCATTACAAGTTGTAACCATTGTATTAAATTGAGTTAATAACTAATACAATTTATTTGTAGTTTTAAAATGAGCTTAAACAATAATAAGTCCTTTTTCTGTTTGTTTTAATGCATTAACCAGAATTTACTAATGAGACTTCATTTTAAAGTGCTATATTGTCCATTATCATCCTTTTAGAGTTTAATTTGTTTAAAACATTCATTTCCAGGGCATCACAGGGGCGCAGTGGGTAGCACGGTCGCCTCACAGCAAGAAGGTCGCAGGTTCAAGCCTCGGTTGGGTCAGTCGGCATTTGCATGTTCTCCCCGTGTTCGCATGGGTTTCCTCTGGGTGCTGGTCCTAAGACATGTGGTTTAGGTCAGTGTTTCTCAACCATGTTCCTGGAGAACCACCAGCTCTGCAGATTTTCCATGTCTCCTTAAACAAACACACATGATTCAGATCACCAGCTCATTAGCAGAGTCTGAAAGACCTGCAATGGGTGTGACAAAGGAGACTTCCAAAACATCCAGTGTTGGTGGGCCTCCACAATCGTGGTTGAGAAACACTGGTATGGGTGAATTATATAAGCTAAATTGTCCGTATGTATGTGTGTGAATGAGTGTGTATGGATGTTTTCCAGTGATGGGTTGAACATGTCCTCTGAACATGTATACACTTAAGTTTTGTTTGGATTTTATCATAGTTGTTAAAGCCTTTTGTAGCTTTGTTATACATCAAGATACTACTGCGTATTGTAATAAAAGCCTCAGCGATTAATCGCAACAAGAAAATCTGGTATTATGCAGACTATGACAGACATTTTGTTCTTCCTTGTTTTTACAATCTGTGTACCTCAAATCTGGACGCCACAATAACGAAGACTTTGAACTGGCTGCTGTCCAAACGAAACAGACTGGGGACACGGCATTACTACCTGACACAGCCAAGGTACCACCTGTTTGTCACGACCAGCACACACACTCTCTCGCTCCTTTCATCCTTTCATCCTCGCTCATTCCTCTCTATCTCTCCCCTAGCTTTTGGCGTGCGTTCTGGATGGGCATCTTGGAGCATCTGTGCCTGCCTGAGGCACTGGACTGTGGTAGATGTGGGTCAGAGCTGTAAATCCTGTGTGGTCTTGTACCAAACAGCCATTGTAACTTCAGGAGAAGCCAGATGCCAAGCGTTGCTGATAGATCGCAGAAGCTGCATGCAAAATAATAAAGTCAACAATGAAGGTCATAAGTCAACTTAATGGTTTGTCTGGTGCTTTTCCCTCCATTTCATAAATTAAATCCAAAGCGGAGGCATTCAAGGGAGGAAATTCCGGTTCGTTAGCGCCACCTCCTGGTCAGATTTCATGTTTGCTGATATCCTAATTCATATTTTTTTCAAACGTGTGTATCAAAACGATAAACACATTACCGGTCAAATTTGGTGTCAGTAGGATTTTTAAATTGTTTAAAATAAGCTTCTCCTGCTCACCAAGGCTGCATTTATGTAATCAAAAATACAGTACAAATTGTAAAATGTTATTGCACTATAAAAATAACGGTTCAAAAGTTTATAAATGAATTTAATAGTTTATTCCAGTTATTTTAAAGATGAGTTTCATCTTCATTACTCCAGTCTTCAGACTCACAAGATCCGTCAGACATCACTCTAATAGTAAAACAAATAAATAAATAAAATAATAATAATAATAATAATAATAATAATTATTATTATTATTATTATTATTATTATTATTATTATTATTTTTATTATTATTATTAATAATAATAATATTTATTGTAAAGGTAATAAAAGCAATAATCACTGGAGTAATCATTTCATTTGAAACTACATACTATAAGAAAGCAGTTATTTAAAATTGTAATAAGTATTTAACAGTTTTACATTCAATTAATGTTTGTTGATAAACAGAATACTTTTCTTAAAAAACATAAATAAAATAAAAAGTAAAAAAACAATTGTTAACCCCCATATTTTAGATATTCTAATTCTTGTATCAAATGTCCTATCCTGACAAAGTATACTTTAATAGAAGAGTTATTTACTCAGCTTTCAGGTGATGCACAGTTGAAATCAAAATTATTAGCCCTCCTGTGCAATTTTTATTTATTTTTTTCAAAGAATTACCAAATATATATATATATATATATATATTTCACAGGAGGGCTGATCTTTCTAAGTTCAATTGTAAAAATCTCAATTTAAAAAACTGACATTATGACCATGTTTTGTGGTCAGGGTCACATATGAAAAAAACAGGGTCAAGTTCAACTTCAATAGCTGCTGGACAGGCAAATTTGTACTTGAGAAGCACTGGATCTGTGTTATTTTGTCTTTCAAAGATGCACTTTGGTGTTATTAAAAGTGAGGGCTGTGGAAGTGGAGAGGCTGCAGTTGAAACAGTCTCTCACCCACTCACGCTGAGGAGCTTTGAGGGCCGAGGGCTGTTAAATGAGGAGGGAGATAATGAGAGAGAGAGAGGCAGCAGCATGGTAATCAGCAGGCCTCAATTTCCTCACTGATGCTCCAGATTATGCTGGCCTCACAGGCTCCCTTAGGCATGTTTCATCTTCTCTTTCCCCTCAGAGAACGCTTGGGATGAAAGGCAGAAGTTCTCCATCCAGCCTGCTGACAAACCCCATGCTGAGGCCACTGCGCAAAACTCTGCTGATAATCAAGTCAGTTTTTTCTTCTCAATTCATTATCTTTTCTATCCCTTTCTGGTCCATTAGCTACAATTTAAGCTCTAAAATAATTGTTTATCTAGCGTGTTGCCTGTGTTTTATGTCTTGAAATACACACCATTAATTTTAACTTCTATAGTTTCTTCAGTCTCACTGAAAGCAAAGCAGGTTTTGTTATTAATGCTCATGTCCTTTCACCCTTAAACAAATAAAAGCTCATTTCTCGTAATGATGTTTCCATGGAAAATATTGAACTTCCCAAGTGCTGCTTCTACAAAACGTTCTTTGAGAATTTTTTCATGCTAAAATGTTTTTTATAAATGAAAAAATGGGTTTTGAGGGAACAAGATTATGAAATTATAAAATTAATAAAAATAGTTTTCTAACCTTTATTTTTAACAATAGAGGAGCTCTGAGTAATATAGGACAAAAGACAAATTCTCATTTTCGAAATACTAATTTCCTTCATTATATTATATTATATTATATTATATTATATTATATTATATTATATTATATTATATTATATTATATTATATTATATTATATTATATTATATTATATTATATTATATTATTATGCTATATTATTTTATATACAAGACTGCATTGATCTCAGAAAATGCCAAAAAGAAAATACTTTGAAATGTAACTCATTTCTCTGACGATTTTTTTTTGCAACATACCAATGTCTTCAGTGTTATCCTTCAGAAATTATTCTAATATGTTGATTTAATCTTCAAGAAACATTTCTTATTAACAAGGTTGAAAATAGCTGTGCTGCTTAATATTTTGTGGAAACATTTACTCGTCACTTTTATCAAAAGTCAGGCAGGCCTGTAGCCAGCTTGTTGAAAGGGGTTTTTCTTTTTTCTGAAAAACTGGACAATGCAATTATTTGCCTCATTTTCTGTTTAATCATGAGGTTTAAATGCTGAATTTTAGTGACATTTTAAGCACTATAGATCATGACCACACTTTTTGATGTACGAGAAATATTTCTTACCATTTTGCCAAATTACTTACTATACTATTTTACAATTTTTAGTCTTTATTTACAAATGTGCGATTAAACTGTTAGTTTTATATTACAGTTTTATAAATAATGTTGAGATTAGCATTTTTAATTCAAAACTTTAGAATGAAGAAAAATGAAAGGATACTTACTTTTAAAGTACAATTTTATTATCATCTATCATTAAATTATGTTTTATGAATCTGTTAAAACTTGTTTAAAATTAAAGATGAAGCCTATACGCAAATAACAAACTGGCCAGTACATTCAACATTCCTCATTCAGAATTTGGCTATTTGAATAATTCGCACATAATATTTAAACATAATAATAATAATGATCCAACAGAACATTCATCGTGGTCTTAAAGCCTTCTTTATTGGTTAATTTCACAATTTATGATAGCAAGTCAAACATAATACAAATAAATGCAACCACAAATAAATGAGCTCATATAGGGGACCAATTCTGGACCTTTGTCAGTGGGTCTTACGAACCCCACTTTACAGGCTAAGTACCTGTAAAGTTACTACATTTGAGGAAAAATATCAACATGTCTTTAACTTGAGCTTGTACTTTGATTGAGTTGTTGGATCCCCCTTGTGGCCTTTTAAGTAACAGCACAATATTTACCATGCTAGAAGAGTACATACATTGCAAGACTGATTGTGGATCATTATCCCTTTAGCTTGTTTTAAACAATATGTCGAGTATAGAGGCTTTATGATGTAGATAAGAGGCATGCAATGCTGCCTTTATTGTCATTTCATCCTGTTTTGAGTAAGGCCAGGAATTGTGACAGTCACACATTTTTGAACTAACAGCTTCAGGTTTTATCTGCCTTAACTTTCAAATCCTTTTAGCTTCATTTAATTTGCTTGTATTTTACTAGTGGTACTAGTGGGTGATTGTAAACATATCCTTTGCAAGTCAGAAGTTTTAGAACAGTAAAAAATACATGTTTTAAAAGAAGCAAATATAAATGTTTTATTGAGCAGAAAATATGAATATTCAATTCAATTCAGCTTTATTTGTATAACGCTTTTACAATGTAGATTGTGTCAAAGCAGCTTCACATAAATGGTCATAGTAACTGGAACAGAGTAGTTCAGTTTTTAGTGTTTAAGTTCAGTTGAATATTAGAAGAGTTTCTGAAAGGTTGTGTGACTGGAGTAAATGTGTGAATGCTAAATTCAGCTTTGAAATCATACATTAATTTATTCTTGGCTTAGTGAGTCCCTTTATTAAACAGGGGTCGCCACAGCAGAGTGAACCACCAACTTATCCTTGGGTTTTACACAGCAGATGCCCTTCCAGCCACAACCCAGCACTGGGAAACACTCATACACTCTTGCATTCAGACTCACACTACAGCCAATTTAGCTCATTCAATTTGCCTATAGTGCGTGTCTTTGAACTGTGGGGGAAACTGGAGTACCTGGAGGAAACCCACACCAACACAGGGAGAACATGCAAACTCCACATAGAAATGCCAACTGACCCAGCTGAGGCTTAAACGGGCGACTTTCTTGTTGTGAGGCGACAGCGGGACCCATTGCGCCACCGTGTTTCCCCAGCTTTGAAATCACATAAACAAAATCACAAATTAAAATATATTTAAATAGAAATCAGTCATTTAAGACAGCTGAACAGAGAGACCTCAATAACAAACAAATCAAAACAACAAAAACATTATAAATCTCACTTATTCTTTTCTTCTGCTTAGTCCCCACATAAAAAATCTTACTGATCATAAAACTTTTAGGTAGTGTATATGATGTGTATCATTTGTTTTGATTTTAGGCATTAAGAGAATGTTGCCTGGGTCCTCACAATGAAGGGTTTTTATTAAAATCCATTAAGCTCAGAAGAGGGGAATCCACCCAATTGCTGAATCCTCACACTAGCACTTACACTTTTAATTACAAAGATTCTTTACTGACCTCCGATAAAGAAACTTCAGGATCAATGGAAACTTTAAATTTGATAATTTAGGGTTGTTTAACAAAAGGTTGCTTAGATTATCAAAACCCTTCACAAGAAAAAAAAAATGGTTCTTTAATATAATAATCCTTTGGGAACCTCGACTCAGCGTTCTGTGTTGTTGTTGTGAAAACACTTTTGGACCGTTAACAAAATGAGACTCACTTCTGACTATTCAAGAATTCAGACATTACTCTCAGGTTCATTAAACTGTCAATTATTAACATAATTACATGTAAAAATATCAATTATGTAAATGAATTGCCTATTCTAGGAAATGTGTCAAAAATTACCCCTGTACTATATTAGTAAACATTAACTACAATCTTGTGTTTGCTAAGCAGGGATTGAGCTGGAAGCAAGTTCATTATAGATGATAAGATTCATAAATTGACAATGAATGATTAACACACACTCATGAATAGTGATCTGCTCAGTGTTTGTTTAGTCTGTATGTGTGTGTGTGTGTGTGTGTGTGTGTGTGTGTGTGTGTGTGTGTGTGCGTGTAGATGTGTGTGTGTGTGTGTGTGTGTGTGTGTGTGTGTGTGTGTGTGTGTGTGTGTGTGTGTGTGTGTGTGTGTGTGTGTGTGTGTGTGTGTGTGTGTGTGTGTGTTTGTGTGTATGTGTGTGTCTGCTCACAGGTGGTGATATTCAGTGCCAGTGGAGGTTGCCCTGGATACATGCTAAAAGACTACATAATCTTTGCATGATAGTCTGCAAAGCACTATGAGACTCTTTATATTTCATTTCGCTGGTGTATTGAAGCAACCTGAAGTATGGAGCATTCTGTCTGGTCAATAATAGCCTATAGTGATGGTGCAACAATGACAAATCAAAAAATGACTGGAGAGGAGTTTGAAGTCCTTCAGATGGTTTTGTGTGGGAGTCGGGCGTGTGATAGTGAAAAATTGTTTTTCAGAAACCTCTGTGTGGGCTGAGCCAGAAATGACCGTCTGAGCTTCTGGGATTGCACTTGAAATCTACCTTTGTACTTTCACCACAATAAACTAGAGATTTGCAAATGAAAGCTTTGTATGGCTCAGAAACCTGTGGCACGAAAACACCCCCTCCCTTTTGTTTAGGACTAAAGCACTGCTGCTTGTGACAGATTCACTGCTCCTGCCAACCATTTTAACTTCACTTCTGCTGCATGATATTTTTAATCAGTAGGCTGTATTTAAGTGTTGTCTGTTGTTGTCTAGTGGCTTTAACTATAACACAAATTAAGAGAGCTGCAGTGCAAACAGAGCTATTGACTGTTTGCCATTCCCACCGCTCTGTTAATTAGGGCAAAATTTAAGACCTTTTTCTCCATTATGTGTCAAATGGCAATTTGAAATAGTGTAAAACTAAATGTTTTACACTCTCAAGCCACTTTATTATATCCACAGAAATGCTTGCTCAGACAATCTACTGAAGCATCATGATGGGCAAGAAAATTGATTTTCAAGTGTTCACACTTAGCTGATGATTGGTTATAAAGTGTGTTTGGCATGCTGTCCTGGGAGAGAGGCCCAAGCTCAGAATATCCTCGAGCCCGGGGCTCCCTCCCATTTGAAGAGCAAGAGGGGAGTTTAAGCTTAGTTAGGTCTCGAGAAGTCCCCTTCTTGTTATAATAACTGAGCTAGGAATTGCTATGAGAGACAGCTGACTAAGAGTTCGTCTATGATTAGTCGATTTACTTATGTTGCATGTCTTTGGATAATGGAAAGAAACTGGGGAAAACCCACACCAGCATGGGGAGAACATGCAGACTCCCCACAGAAATGCAGACTGGCCTGGTACGGACTCGAACCAGTGACGTTCTTGCTGTGAGGCAACAGTGATACCCACTGGGCAACTCTATCAGTAAATGGGAGGAAGAGGGGGGTGGAAGGGGGATTCTTCAGGATAAAGATGACTGAGGTGAGAAACTCCGTTTTTATATACTGAGTTCATCTGATTGGTGCATAATGTTAGCTGATGCAGGACTAGCCGTGATCAATCATAAGCATGTGATCCTCTCTAAATTAGTTTATAAATAAATCGCACCAAGTGCCTTTAAACATGGATTGATTGTTATAAACAGGTTGATCTGATTTTTTCAAGAAAATCCTAAAAATCTACTTGAACTTTTATGCAAAGCCATCTATGCAAAAATACCTTCCTTGTTTTGAAGCAGATGAGCTGCAGCTGAAAAGCACACTGGAGAAACACCTGCCAGCTATAAGAACAACAAACTGAGACCACAACTAGCACAAGAACACAGAAACTGGACAACAAAAGGTTGTAAAAAAGTTTTCTGGTCTGATGCATCTAAGTTTCTGCTGCAACATTTGGATGTCAGAGTCAGAATTTTGCATTAGCAACATGAACGCATGGATCCTGCACTTATATATATTATATTATATATATAATATTTCCTTCGCTTACTTTGGGAACCTTAGAATCAATTCAACATTGTTGCTGACCATGTCCATCCCATTATGACTACATTATGCTCATGGGTATACTTCCAGTAAGATAAAATGCTAAACTCAAATAAACTGGTGTCCCAACAAGCATTTTTTGTTTTTAAAAGATGTCTGAAATGTCTAATCTTGGCTAAAACAAGGATAAATTTGAGCAGTCAGGGAAAATCTAATAGACGTCTAAGAATAGGCCAAGACTTGACTAGTCGTCAAATAAACAGAAATGAATGCCTACACATATAAAGTCTGTCTAATCCATTTGACGACTTTTTGGCTATTCTTAGATGTCTATTAAATTTTCACTGACAGTCCAAGTTTAGCCTTGTTTCAGCCAAGCTCTATGTTTAGACGTCTATTAGATGTCAATTAAACAAAATTGTTTGCTGGGTTTTTTGAATATGTGAAAAGGATATATTATGTTTTCCACATTAACCTTATGTCAATCCAGAACAGCACCTTTAGGGTGTGCTGGAATGGGGAAAGCCCAATTTTGTGACTATCATGGCAAAATGTGAAAGTAATGCTGTTCTGTTTGCAATTCTGGGTCCAACCTATTAGTAAAGTGCATCCAAAGGATTTGTTTGAGTTTGACCTTAAATTAAATGAACACGAGACATCTTTATCGTCATAACAAAATCCTTCACTGGGTTCCTTCTAATCTTGCTTAAGTGTTGAGTCAGTAGTTTCCATTCATCTCTCCATCAATACAGAGTGTGCGTCACCTGCATACTAAGCTCGCTCTATTCTGCAAACTGTCTGTGCATTTAGACTGTTAGAAATCCACAGAAGAGTTGCTATAATTCATTCTATGAGAAATAATGCAATTGCTTTTTAGAGTGATTTGTCATTTATCTCGCCATGAGAATTATGAACACACTGGGAATTGTGGTCGTGGATGGGTGATTTATATAAGCTATCAGTAACACATTAGCGTTTTTAAAGTGTTTACAGAACAAGCCACAAAACTAAGAAAAATGCAAATGAATAATCAGAGCGCGTTATTGATCGCTTCAAAGGGTTACTATAGCAACACGCTAAAGCGCTTTATTTTGCCATCAGCAGTGCAAAACAAAGCTTATTTTATTAGCTTACACTTTATGACTTTATTAGAGCTCAATGGGCTACATTAGAAATATATATTAACATCTTCTTTACCGTTTTCACAGAGATCTTAAAAAAGTTGAATACACCAGACAGGTGGAATCCAGTGAAAAACCTGCACATTGCGGAGGAAATGACATAAAATTGCTCTTCAAGGCGCTCGGGACATCCAGCCCATCCACTATATAGGCTACGCCTGTGCTTCAGCATCATCATCAGCAGCGGTGCTCCTTCTGCACACCACGGAGAAGAGCGATCAAATGAGCAAAAACGCGAGTTGTAGCTGCGCGTTTACATGCCGATCTTTCCGTCGCGTCGCGATGCTGTAACCGGTGCGGGCAGCGCGCCTGCTCTTGATCACTCCGAGCCCAGAACAGGACGTTCGCGAGTTTAGGTGGACGTAGGTTTGAGGGAATGATGAAACAGATACGGGGATTATTTTTATTCTAGCCAGAGGGGCAGAAGGTTTAATACTTTCTCGGATTAACTCTGCCGTAATCGCAGCAGGCTACAGTGGAGCAACACGCTGCTGATACAGTGCGCCCATTTCAACGCCGCGTCCTTTTGGAAAGACCCTGACGGGACCCAGACAGGTAAACGAGGCTGCACATTACAGCTGAATTTCCTCTAAGCAGCGTTTGTCGAGGAAGCAGATGTGAATGACTGGTGGGATGCAGTTGCCTTGCCTCACGCGGCTCTGAGAGCTCTTGGTTCTGGAGAACACATTTGAGCAATATTCACCGAGAACTGCTTCATATGGGCGAGGAGGGAACGCGCTTCCCTTCGTGTTGGACATGGGCTCGCTGTCAAGATAACGGCGTGTCGGATCCAGAACGGGAGAAACGATGGGCCGAGCTGTTTGACCAGTTGGACCTTAATAAAGACGGGAGGATCGATTTGAATGAGCTGCGCACCGGATTAACCGCATGGGGGATCGTTCGCGGTGAAGTGGACGAGGTGGGTCGTTCGGCACACCTTTACCTCTAAACCTGTTCATTTCTGGGAGCTGATCTGTAAACTGGGGTGAATTGCAAACATCTGAGACCTCGGCACTTTGCTTTTGTTGGAACTTCATGAACTTTATGTAACTGAGTGTTTTCCCCGTTTATGTTTAGCAGGAGTGAAACTTAACCATTAGAAAAGACTCGAACGAGGACAAACGATCCCGTGTAATTAATTCAAGAGTAAGACTTTCCACACTGCAATATTGACAAACCTTAAGACCAACTTCGCTTCTTGTGTAGGACAGACTGGAAAGTGTTTTATAGATTAACCCAGTAGCTAGGGGATTGGAGAAGCAGGGGATTTTAACTTCCCCCCTCCTTACTAAAACCAGATAGCCTATTGCATTTACACTATATGGCGTAAAAAATAATTTTTATTTGATATGCAATATATAATATTAGAGTGGCAAAATATGTTTTCATGAATATAAATATTTACATTTATTAATTTAGATGCTTTTATACAAAGCAAATTACAAATGAGGGATACAGCAAGTAGGCTAATTCATCATAGAAGACATATAATCATGAGAACTGCTAAGCTTCTGCTATTGTTAGTCTTTTTAGATGCAGCATTTTTATCAACAGGACTCAATTATAACAAATGACAAATGAAGCATGGTCATTAATCATAATAACCATAAATTGAATTAAACTTAATTAATTAAATGAAATGAGAAACATTGGCATTTGAACAGTGTGAGGCCTTCAAGCCAATTTGTAAACAGGATAGTTTGTGTTAAATTTAGTCTACATCACCACTTATTGCTATCTAAGAAAAAAAAACATTTGTATAATAAATGAATGCGTAACATTTAAAATGTTCTATAATCTGTTTAGTAGGCTACATTCCCACTAGCAATTTTTTGGGAGATCTAACAGAGATTTTTCATAAGATTTATTTACATGGTTTAGTACATTAAAAAGTTAAGTTTGAAGCACAAAGTACAAAACTACACTGGGCTATAGATGTTGAATAAAATGGGTTACAACACTCACTAGTGTCCCGACTTCACATGTGGGGCAACTGGAGAAACAAATCTGCACCAGCAGAAGCTTAACTGCTTTAGTTCAGTGACTGTAGTGGATGTGCTCTAAATACTGAAAAAATATTCAATTTACAATATATATATATTTTTTATAAACCATGGTCTTTAAAGCCATTTTTCACAATACTGAAATATTTTTTTGCCGAGCTGAAAAAAGAAAGGGCATCACTAATTGAGAAACATTAGAAAAGTCATTCCCAAAATAATAGTGTTCATAAGAAGATTTAAAGGGGTTCACCAATTGGCACCCATCAACCTCCATACTAGGAAATAACATTGGAAGTCAATGGGTGGCAGCACACAGCATTCCTCAAAATATCTTCATTTGTGTTCAACAGAAGAAAGAAACTCAAATAGGGTCTGAACAAGTGAAGGTTAAGTAAATATGGCAGAATTATTTTATTTTTTTATGGTGAAGTTTGCTTTAACAGATGTTTTAATACTATTTACCGGATATTTCAAAATGCCATGTTTAAATTTTCACTCATTATTATCTCTGTTCATACGAAAGTGACTTACGGTGAGGGGAAACAGCTAAGGCTACAAATAAAGAACATGAAAGCTGAAATTATAAGAGCGCCATTAAGAAATTCACTTGGAGACTCCACGTTAGAGCAACAATTTGTGCCAGTGGTATGTCTGTGTTGTTGGGTTCACTGTGGGACTGTGTTAGTCATGTGCTTTGATGCAAGAGGAGAGATTAGCTGTAGTTCACAATTGTGTGGGTGACTGGCTTTTCATAGAGATCTTGCCTCTGTAAGCCTAGAGCAGTGCCTCCTTTATCTCCTTTTTTTTTCTCCTCATTCTGAAGTTCACATGGATAGCTTTATCAAAACCCTCAGATTGTTTCCCTTAAACTTGCACTTCTCCACCCTCAGATTGTACGTGTGAGCGACACCAATCATGACGGCCAGCTGGACTTTAAGGAATTTACTCAGTATCTACGCACACACGAGAAAGAGCTCCGACTCATGTTCAGCAGCCTGGACCACAACAACGATGGTCTGCATTAACCTTTTATATTAAAATGTAATTACCACACAGTATATGAACCTCATAATTCACTGAAACTATTCCACTTTGCATGATTAATTTTAAAGTGCCTTAATAGTTTCTTATACTGTAAGAACATGTAGGTGTACATACTGCAGAATAGAAAAAAGTGCAATTGGAAAATTGTAAAACCTTTTTTCAGCAAGGATACATTGAATTGATCAAAGGTGCAGTACAAGCACCAGCTAGATGCATTAGCATGTGCGACTGAAAGCTGGACTGCAAAAATTTCAGCTCAAAGGCATAAATTACATTTTGAAAATTTTAAAATAAGGAAATCAAAATTGGAGCATTATTTATAAACATTTTATTTATTTATTTTGCTCTCAGAAATTATGTAATCTTCATTGAAGGTGTTTTACTTGTTGCTATACTACACTGTAAACCCTAATGTTGTCTTTACCTAAACAGTCAAGTAAAGTTGACTGAACATTACTTAAAATTTAGCATTTTGGTCATGTCACCTAAAAATATGAGTTAATTTAACTTATATACAATGAAAATGCATAAACTTGAGATTTCAAGTATAGTAAGCTCAAAATCACAACTAATCCTTTGAAAAAAAATTGTTCGTATTTTTATGTTTTGACTGTAAAATTCTAATATGTGCAACCTTTTGCAAGGTCTTTTTTCAATCAGAAAACAAGGCTTCATGTATAAATATTCAATATAATGGGAATAAATGGGTACTTAATTTTCTTTTAAACGTTTTTTTCATAGTAAATAATTACACACACAGACACACACACTGAACTGAACAATTTAAGTATAATTAAATTATACTTAGATATTTAAATACAATAATTAAGGAGACTCCGTTATTCAATTAAATTGAGGCAACGAGTTTACTCAATTAATTTAGTTCATTCAACTTATTAGGGTTTTCAGTGTAGGGCTGCATGATATTGGAAAGAAATGACATTGCGATATTTTATTTTTCCTGCGATACATATTGCTGTATTGAGCGTAATTTCTCCAGTTGACACGAATAGCTCTATTTGGAAAGAAGCTATAATTTGACATTAATTGTGATAATTTTATAGGGCAGTTCATTTGCATAAATTATAACAAATCAAACACAAGCATTAATAAATACAGTAGAGCAAATATACAACTAATATAAACAGTGCTTTCTAGTTTTCTGGGAGTCTAACAGTATTCAAGTGTACAAATTGAATAATCCAGTGTAAAATAACACTGTATTTTTCATCCTAAATATACATAAATACATTTAATCCTTCTCAAAGTTAACATTATTAAAATTCAATGTGCCTGAATGCTTTAAAATGGCTTGACATGCTTACATAATCAAAGGCCTTAAAAACTTTACACATTGAAATGAGATTATTTTTTTAACTGTGCTTAACTGTGGCTCTTGGTCAACTATAATCCTGACTCCACATTGCAGATTCCCTGACTGTTGTATACTTTGATGCTAAAACAATATATTGTGCAGACCTCGGTTGTACCATGCTAACAGAACCACTTTTTACAAAACATCCAAGGCATTTAAATAAAAGGGCATTACTTTGTGGAAAACACATTGATCACATTAGAACAGCAATGATTGTAAAGAACTTTACCTTCTTCTGAATTCTAGTATGTCCACTGCTGTCCGTGTAAAGAATAGCAATGACGTGTTTTATAACCTCAGGTCACATAGACGTTCCAGAGATTCAGCTCTCCTTGCGCAGCCTTGGAGTGAATGTATCCACAGAGCAGGCCTCCAGAATCCTGCAAAGGTTAGAGCACTTCAGCTATTCACAAAACTCTGTGCATGTATGTTTTTAAAGCTTATAATCAATGGCATGAACACATTTGCCTCCCACTCTGGTGGCGTTATGTGCTGAGTCACACATAGTTTCAGTGAACGCTGACAAAACTTGCTTTAAACTTTTTATATTTCTTTCGTCTGTCAGCATAGACAGAGATGGCACTATGACCATTGACTGGAATGAGTGGCGGGACCACTTTCTGTTTAACCCCTTGCACAACATGGAGGACATCGCCCACTACTGGAAACACTCTCTGGTTCACATCCTGCTCTTTTCAGAATTAGATTGTAGGCTTGATATTCACAGATGTTTTTAATTGTCAGCTTCAACTGCCGTTTGATTCTATGAATTATGCATTTCAGATGTTGGACATTGGAGAGCAGCTGACTGTGCCGGATGAGTTTTCAGAAAAGGAGCGTCGGTCTGGTGTTGTGTGGAGACAGCTGGTGGCCGGAGCAATGGCAGGAGCCGTGTCGCGAACAGGAACTGCCCCTTTGGACCGTCTGAAAGTTTTCCTACAGGTTCAGTTAACTCTTAAAAGTCTAAGAATCATCTTTTTTGTTGGCAATTTATTAGTCTCATAATGAAGTGAATGTGATCATTTTGGGTTTTCAACAGGTTCATGGCACCAGTGGTGTGACTTTGTTTAGTGGATTGCAAGGTATGGTGCGGGAGGGAGGATTGAGGTCCCTTTGGAGAGGCAACGGAATTAATGTCCTCAAAATTGCCCCGGAGTCAGCTATCAAATTCATGGCTTATGAACAGGTGATGAATACTGTAACTACACATTAAATATTACAGTCGTGGCATAGAAACAGATTTTACTTAGATATTGCTAGTAAATCTCACAAATAATTAAAGGGTTAGTTAACCCCAAAACAAAAGTTTTATAATTACTCATTTCCACTCCTGAGACAATTGTTCATCTTCAAAACACAAATTAAGATATTTAAGATGAAATCTGGGAGCTCTCTCAACCTTCAAAACAACAAAGTTTCAGAGACGTTAAAAGTTTAACATTATTAAGGAAGATAAAGCTAGATTAACAAGATTAACGAATGGACGAAAGCAGCGCAGAAATAAGACATGCACATATCGACTTTCTCAAAAGGCATTCCATGTGATCAGAAGTGAAGAAAAGTCATTTTGATGGGGGAGTGAAGGTATTCGATGAAAGATTATGAGGGCATATACATCTTTTACAAAATAATGAAGTGCACAGAAAGAGATTATTTGTCATGTGTAGTGAATGTGGCTCTAAATGTTTTTATGCAGATCAAATGGCTGATCAGAGGCCGTAGGGAGGGAGGTACTCTGAGGGTTCAAGAACGCTTCATTGCTGGCTCTCTGGCTGGAGCTACAGCTCAGACCATCATCTACCCCATGGAGGTGAGAGACATAAAGAAGCTTTCACTTTTCAGCTCTAGATGGAATATAACCACAATATTTCACTCCTACCCTAAACGAAGGACTGCCATTCTTAAAACCCTTTGGGAAATTAATAAGGAAATGCTTGGGAAATTAGCCCTTCCGTGTTGCCCTACAAATGCACCTAAGAAAAGCTCTGTGAAAAACTTCTACTTAGCATCATCTTTATCATAAGCACTTCTACAGATATTATAAAATAAATGCAATATAAATGCATACAGGTGTTTATGGATGTAAAGAAAACAATCTTTTAGTTTTAGACAATGGAGCAAACAGGACAGGAATGCTTAACTTAATCTGTCAATTTGATATCTGTACTTACTTATGTTTACGTTTATGAATAAATACCTAATTAACCTAGTTAAGCCTTTAAATGTCACTTTAAGCTGCATAGAAGTGTCTTGAAAAATATCTAGTCAAATATTATTTACTTTCATCATTGCAAGGATAAAATAAATGAGTTATTAGAAATGAGTTATTAAAACTATTATGTGTATAAATGTGTTGGAAAAAATATCTTTGTTAAACAGAAATTGGGGAAAAAAAGAAACAGCAGGGGGGCTAATAATTCTGACCTCAACTATATATATATATATATATATATATATATATATAGGCATTGTAATCATTGAAAAATCATACAGACCCCAAATTTTTAAATGTTAGTGTAGATATAATACAGTACAATGTAAAAAAAAACATTTAAAGTGTTTTGTGTTTCTTATTTTTATTTTTTTGAGAAAATAATGTTAATTTCTACAGAAAATAATTTGAGTTTTGCATGTTATTAGAATAATTATAATTGAATAATGAATAATTGTATGTTGGACAAACGTAGATGAAGACACTTACATGGGAAATACATTGAGCAAAACAATAAATAATAAAAATTACACTGTTTTAAAGATAAAAGGGTAGTTAACCTAAAAAATATTAATTTACTCAGTATTTTCTTGCTCTGAAGTGGTTCCAAACATTTATTAGATCTTTCTTTTGTTGAAAACAAAATAAAATATTTTTTAAAAAAGACTGAAATCTGGCAACAATTCATGTTCATTATAGCAAATTATTAGCAAAAATATGTTATGAAAGTCAGTGTTACATGTTTTTAGCATTCTTCAACATATCTTCATTTGTGTTTGACTACAGAAAGAAAGTCAAACAGGTTAGGAACAAGTAAAGGGTGAGGAAATACCCCTTTAATATGATGTGTGTACTACAGTAGTCAACATTTAACAAGTGGATCAAAAAAAGGTTTTTAAAATAGTTCTAAGACAAGAGTGGTGTTGTTCAATAGTTTTAGGATAAATTTGATGAAAGGTTTTAATTCACTTCAAATGTTCACCACTATATAAAATTATAAATCTAAATGATTTGGATTATTAAATCAAATGAGAATCAGACCTGGCACATTTCTTTACTGATCTGACTCACATAATGTCTGTCTGAAAAGGTATCTGTCATCTCAAGTCGTGTGTAGTGTTCACAGATTTCAAACACCAGAGAATCATGTAACAGAGGAAGCTGTTAAACAAAGTTGTTCCTAATTTGTTTGCTTGTTAATTTATGCTATTCTAAATGCTCAAAGAGCCTGAAAATAAGCCGGGTCTGACTGTGAACATCTTCGATTGTCTACTCCTGGTAGGCTTCAATGCAAAAAACAAGCTTCTTTTCTGTCTTCGATTATTTATTCATTGAGCAGATCGGATTTTTAGAAGCCAAACACTTCATTTATTTATTTAAAGCACTTGATTAGACATGCTGAACAGAGCTGCTGATACTTACAGTTTCCTTGCAGGACCTCTAAGCTTTCTCTATATTTTCTGTATTGTTACTCTGTTCCTTTCTGTTTCTCAGGTGTTGAAGACCCGTTTGACCCTTCGGAAGACTGGACAGTATTCTGGCATGGCAGACTGTGCCAAGCAGATACTGCGTAAAGAAGGAGTGCGTGCGTTCTATAAGGGCTATGTGCCCAACACACTTGGCATCATCCCTTATGCTGGCATTGATCTGGCTGTCTATGAGGTATGGCTCTGTGTGTGTGTGTGTGTGTGTATGTGTGTGCGTGTGTGTGTGTGTGTGTGTGTGTGTGTGTGTGTGTGTGTGTGTGTGTGTGTGTGTGTGTGTGTGTGTGTGTGTGCGTGTGTGTTTTACACATTAAAGTGTTTGTGAATGCTTTATGCCATTGACAAGCTCTGGGAATTCATCATTCTGAGTTGCTATGGTTTGTTAAACGATGTTATGTATTTACGTTGCTGTGTTCTGTCGTCTCTTCCCAACAACTCACAGATTATTTTTCAGCTGAACTCTATTAACCCCTTGTCATTCTTTACTTGGTGCCAAAAAACATCTTTTATTCAGCCAAGCATGCAATAAACTGATTAAAATTGTTAGTAAAATAGTTCATGGCCAGATTCACTGAACAGGGAATGTTAGCTTAAGTGCAATCTTATAAAAGCACAGATGTGAGTGTAAAGTTGTTTCTGCGGACAATGCGCAATTAAAAAAACAGAGACACATGGAATTTGGTAATGAGATTTTGTTTTCAGATTAAAAAAACTAAATTCTCTCCTTCTTTGAATAAAAAAGCTATAAAAATAACAAGTTTTCAATAAGTATGTTTACATGGACACCAATAATCTGATTTTAATACGATAAAGACTATACTCTGATTAACAGTCTACCATGCAAACAGCTATTTTTAATTAATTTATTCCAATTAAGGTCATAATCAAACTAAACAGAAATGGAATTAAGACATGCGGAGTATGCCGATTTTATACGCATTATTGAAGTGCAGTGCAGTACAGTAAACACTGCAATCAAACTATTACCATCGTGTAGGATTTTCACTGCATTTTACAACAGGTTAGTCTATATACACCAGGATGTTTGACACTATTCTGTGTACCTTCCGAGTCAGTGGAGGATCACAGACACCTGCATTGTGAAATGTGGAGATTTTTTTCTCCTGTTCGGTGTGCGGTATCAAATTACATTAAAACTACACTCTTCCAGCAGTTCATACTCGCATCCAATATCTCGTTTGTCATGGGGGCATGCCTGAAAAGTTCCTGAATGAAAGTGAAAGTGTCAAACTGGCGTTAAAGTCAACAAATAAAAAAGAAACGCCCATAATTACATGAAACTCTGGAATAAATGTGGATAGCGTGGTGACGCAATGATGTTAATCGAATGATGTGCTTTAACATGTAAAATGGCATCATGAAAGGAACATTTAGCAACTCATGTAAACACCTTAGTCATATTATTATCTTGTTTAGAATAAAGCAAATAATTTGATTACTGATGTCCATGTAAACGTAGTCAGTGATAATTTCGCATTGTTTGACTTTAGTGAAAATGGACAGTATTTTTTACATTTTATTTAAATGTTTTAAATTTTTACACTGAATTCTGACAGTTTCCATTAAAATATCAAGCAGCACACTTCAGCATATTATTATTAGTTTGTTAATTCGCTTTTATTTGTTAATTTTTTTATTAGTTGAATATTAGTTAAATTGGTTTGTTAGATTATGGGACACTGAAGAATTAAATAACGGCTGGTGAAATTGAATGAAATAAATAATAATAATATGATAATAGAAAATAATTCAATTAAATTGTCATTTTATTTCACAGCGATACTTTTTTTGGGGTTTTGAATTTAGATTTTCATAATAATATATATTTTAAGTCATTTCAAAAGTATTAATTTGAACAAAATAAATGTTTAGTCTTTGATGTATCATAATGAAATTATATTATGCATATATTTATTTACATTAAACATATATTTTATGTAATTGGGTAGGCTAAATTGTCCATAGTGTATGAGTGAATGAGTGTGTATGGATGTTTCCCAGAGATGGGTTGCAGCTGGAAGGGCATCCGCTGTGTAAAACAGATGCTGGATAAGTTGGCGGTTCATTCCACTGTGGCAACCCCAGATTAATAAAATGAATGAATGAATGAATATATTTTGTGGCGATGGTGCAGTGGGTAGCGCTCTCGCCTCACAACAAGAAGGTCGCTGGTTCGAGCCTTGGCAGGGTCAGTTGGCATTTCTGTGTGGAGTTTGCATGTTCTCCTTGTGTTTGCATGGGTTTCCCATGGTATAGGTGAATTGGGTAAGCTGAATTGTCCTTAGTGTATGTGTGTGAATAAGTGTGTAGGGATGTTTCCCAGTGATGGGATTGCATTTGCTGCATAAACATATGCTGGATAAGTTGATGGTTTATTCCGCTGTGGCGACCCCTGATTAATAAAGTGACTAAGCCGAAAATAAAATAAAAAATTATAGATTTTTTTGTACATATATTTAAAAGTATATCTATAACCCTGTTCTCTCAGACACTGAAGAACGCTTGGCTCCAGCGGTACTGTATGGGCTCGGCTGATCCAGGAGTTCTGGTGCTGCTGGCATGTGGCACTGTGTCCAGCACATGTGGACAGCTGGCTAGTTACCCACTCGCTTTAATCCGAACCCGCATGCAGGCTCAGGGTGAGCCAGATCTAATTCAATCACATAATTCTCTAGTCATATTACTCCGCTTCCCTTGCAGTTCTTTATGAGACCAAATATGTTCGCAAGCACAATAATATTCTTTCATTTCTCCCTTTGTTCTTGACAGCCTCAGCAGAAGGCGCTCCTCAGCTGTCGATGGTTGGTCAGTTCAAGCACATTGTGTCCCATGAGGGCGTTCCAGGACTGTACCGTGGCATCGCCCCCAATTTCCTCAAAGTCATTCCTGCTGTGAGCATCTCTTATGTGGTTTATGAGCATATGAAGAAAGCACTGGGAGTGGGATCTTAAATGAAGACGCAGGGTCCAAGAGAAGAACCCGTAGTTAAAGAGGACAATGTAACTTCTGTACCTCATAAAAACAGGCCTTAGGAAGGCAACGAAGACCTCTAGAGACCAGGATAAGAACAATGTAGTCGGTGAATGACCTAAAAATCTACTCCACATTGTACACAATCACATTCCCATGACAATTCCGACTTTAGCAGATCGGGAAGCTAGTTTTAGGCTGAGGCAGCCATTAAAGGATTAGTTCCCTGCTACAATGAAAATTAATTTACTCATCCTTATGTCATTCCTGACTTTTGATAATTCTCTAAACACAAATGGAGATATTTTTTACAAACGTGAGAGATTTTACCACCTTTTTAGTACTGAACATTGCTAAAAAATAAATTAGGTTTGTCTTCTGAAGTCTTCTGAAGAGATCATTCATTCACTTGATCATTTTCTTTTTAGCTTGGTCCTTTTATTAATCTGGGATCGCTACAGCGGAATGAACTGCCAACGTATCCAACATGTTTTACGCAGCAAATGCCCTTCCAGCAGCAACCCAACACAGGGAAATGCACACTCTTTCACACTCATACACTACGGATAATTTAGCTTATTCAGTGCACCTATAGCCTAACTGACCCAGCCGAGGCTCGAACCCATGATCTTCTTGCTGTGAGGCGATCATGCTACCCATCTGCGCATATTAACAATGATCAGGCGATGTGTTGGCACAACGGGTAGTACAATCGCCTTACAGCAAGAAAGTTGCTGGTTTGAGCCTTGGCTGGGTCAGTTGGCGTTTCTGTGTGGAGTTTGCATGTTCTCCCTGTGTTTTCATAAGTTTCCTCCAGGTGCTCCGGTTTCCCACATAGTCCAAATACATGCGCTATGGGTGTGCTAAAATTGACCCTAGTGTATGTGTGTGATTGAGTGTGCATGGATGTGTATTTCCCTGCAATGGTTTGCAGCTGGAAGGGCATCTGCTGCGTAAAACATATGCTGGATAAGTTGGCCCCCAGATTAATAAAGGGACTAAGCCGAAAATAAAATGAATGAATGAATGAATAACAATATAATGATAAACAAACATAAACAGACAATCAGTGTGGGAACAAACCTCATTGACTTGTGCAGAAGCTCAACTATGCCATGTGACACTCAAGAATGCATCTCATTGGTTCTTGTGCGTCAAGCTAAATTATTGTTGAGCTTCCATTGCCAAATTTAATTGCTGTTAATAATGTTCACTACACAAGTTCATGAATGTTTGGTTAAAGCGATTTCTCAGAATTATTAAAAATACCTTAATTTGTGTTGCGATCATGAGATTTTGGAATCATGTGAGTAAAAGATGACTGAATTTTCATGTCTGGCAGAACTATCCCTTTAATAGCAACGATTCTGTGGAACAAAGTGTATCTCTATGACTGGCAGCTTGGAGATCTCAGGTTTATTGTACACTATTTAACTGCTGTTTCTCACAAACAACTTCTTATCTGTGAAGGGGAATGCCCAAACTATGGTATGTTTTAAGGAATGCTGTTGACATTAATAACTAATGGGTAATGAAATATATTTAACATGATGAGGAGAAATAGTGAGCCTATTGCCTGTATTTTTAAGATGGTTAGTTTTAGACTTTATCTTTCTCAAATGACAACCAAAGTTTCTGTACCAAAATGTTGAAGAAGGTGGAGCAATGGATATTTGAAATATTCTCTTTTTACTGGTGTTTCATAAGATTGATGAAGGAATGATAAATTATCAAGCATGTTTGAGCAGGGATTTGCACTGTGGTATGACTTGTTTATTTTTGTAAAGGCCATTGAGAGCTAAGCATGTTGTATGCTACACTTTAATGATCAAACGATTTGCACTCTTCTGATGATTGTGGAATGTATATAATAATCTGACTCATGATGTTCTTTAATAACATATGCTGCTTTGCTACCTTCTTACAATTTTAACATCTTCTGATATTTCAGTCCTCATTGTAAAGATGTAGAGAGAAATTCAGGATTTAGTGTTAAAATTATAAGTAATTTATAAAATTGCTGCCTTGAACAAATGAAGCACGATCAAGGGCATTCGAATGGGAGTTTACAAGTGAAGTTTTGCATTAGATTTGAATGCTTTGTTTTTATTAATGTATGTGCTGTGCATGGTGAATGCTAAAACATGCGGCTCAAAATGTATAAATCAAAGGGCTTTTGGTAGTGCATGTTGTCAGTGATGCAAGTGGTGACACAATTTGCATGTTTTATATGAGTTTTTCCATATCAAAAACATGCAGAAAACTGTTAAAGCTGACAGGAAATGTGTGTTTATTCAACATGACTACTATTACCCAAAAACAAACCAATGGATGATTTGAAATCACAGGTTATAGGTTACAATAGGCATTGCTGTTGAATTAGTTTTTATAATAAATGGACAACATTTATATCACATGCTATTTTTATAGACAAATATCCATCCATATTTCTCAATACCTATATTTAATATGTAACTGGCTATACATATAATGCAGATTTTGCTGAATATGAATGTTTAAATGCTTGCCTTTTTCATTTTTGAGACAGTTTTAGGTATGACTACCATTCGAATGCATATTTAAAATAGCTTACAAAATGATTACCTCTGGAGATTGTAGACTATTAGGAAACTGCCCTGCTGAAAAATCCAGCTTAAACCAACCAAGGATGGTTGGCTGGTTTTAGATGGTCAACCAGCTTGGTTTTAGAGTTTTTTTTTCCATTTCCAGGCTGGTTCGCAGTCAATTCTAGCCTGTTCTTAGCTGGTCAGGCTGGGAAATGACCAGCTAAAACTAGCTTGACCAGCCCAGCCAGGCTGGGCACCCAGGCAAAACTGGCTATGCCCAGATTAAACCATATATGTCACAATTGGCCAAACCCCCTCTAAAACCAGGCTGGTCCACCAGCTAAAACCAGCCAACCAGCTTTGACTAGTTAAGCCTACTGTACTGTATATTATGGTTGTTTTGCTTGAATACATCACATCTGGAGTAGTGTGCCTTGACATGCTGTATTCACTTTAAAAAATGTGCATGCTGTTTTCATTGAGCTTATTTGAAAACGATTGCCTGCTTTCTTTATGTATAAGTGATTAAAAATGATTGGGAGTGTATGAACAATAAGAATGTAGTCTGTTTGTCTTGGAAAAAAATATTAATAAAAATCAAACAATAGCCTAAATAAGTTTAAATGTCTCTTATTATTTTCTAAATAGCTTCATAAAGCTTAACTACAATTTCTCAGAGAAAAATTCTCATAAACTGTCTTTATTCAGTCAGAATGAGTCTAATAAAAGATAACAATGAGTTGCAAGAAGACACACACAGATTCTAGTTTGTCGTCAGATCCATAAGCAGTTCGCTCAAGTTGTGGATCTCCTATCCAGTTGGTGGCGGTATTACTGGTAATGAGTAGTCATTGCGTTGAAATCTCACCGTCACTTCCTTCTTACTCCATTTTATTTCGGCTAATGTTTTGATCGGGTCGAGCGTGGTGTTTGCTGCAGACGCTGGTGAATAAATCATGGGGAGAAAAAAGAAGAAGCAGATGAAGCCCTGGTGTTGGTATCCTTCTTTAAAAATATCGCGCAGCTGTTCTTCATTTTTGTATTTGTTTATTGGTACGAATGAGCTCACTTCCTGTTTGCGGCCAACGCATTGTTCGCATGTTTAGCTGATAACAAGGCCGTGTCTTCATACATCATAGACGCTTTCAAATTGGTTTTGTGTTTGAATTCTGAACCCTCTGTAGTGCAAGCGGGCATTTACCCTAGCAAACGACAATAAAATAGTAAAATAAGAGGTTTGGGTTGATCGGAATTGTTATAAAGTACGCTCAACCTGTCATTGTCATCGAAGCGAAGACTTCACTGACTTTAACGTATATGTCACGATAGCTGTTAAGATTACTTACGTTATATGATAATTTGTGTTATTGTTACTTTTTAATGTGTAACGTGTTTACCCCTTTTGCTAGAACAGATTCTTAACCCTGGTGTTATGATATTATATTAATAAAACGTTCAGCAATCTTCGCATGTAAATGATTGAAGCACCCGTGGTGGCAATGCTTACACCTGTGCCGACTCAATAATACAATATACCGTGATAACGAGCATGAATATGATATTGTGATCGTGGAAACTACACAATACCCTGACTAACTTTGTATAATTAACGTTATAAATTTTAGATTTAATCTATCGATAAAAATTATGTGTACAGTATAGCGTATATTATTTAGGTCATGTAATTTCCTTATCTTTCTTAGTCTATTGTGTAGCTTCAATCTAAAAGTTGTAACTGTTTTGTTCATTGATCTAATAATTTCCAATAACGAGTCTTTTTTTAAACTAACATACTATCTTTTGTAGTGGTTTTTTACAGTTGATGTTGGTTAAAGGTGCAGTAGTTAATCAGCCAAAATGCTGAACGGTTTGCATAATATCTTTGAAACACAGTCCCACCCCTGCTGTCCAAAGCCATGTCTCCTGATATCATGAACGAACACCTTAAAATTGACAGTAGACAACCAACTATGTTAAATCATGTCATTCACCAGTTAGAAAACTTCATAGTACTGTATAATACTACAATACAGAACAAAAACTGTATTATATTTAGCACTTTAGCAGTTGTGTAGAAGCAAAACTTGTCATAATGCAATATTTCATGCATGCAAGGAGCTCTGGTCTCACTTTCTTACCTGCTGTCCTAAAGTGACTCCTGTATACTTAGTGGTTGGCTGGTGGCATGCAGGAATTACACTTATCACTAAGCCATACTTGGATGCTATTTCAGAGCGAATATTCAGAGTAGCATGGTGAACAATATAGTGAGCGCGTCACAGATTGCCATTGTTCAAAAATGAACCAATGTGAATATAAAACCAACTTCACCTCAGTAAAGCAGGCTAGACAGAATAGCACTGTTTGGTTATGTTTTTGTTAAACTAAATCAAGATCTACATTAATGATGCTGTTAAACAGGGGTGTCCAAACTCGGTCCAGGAGGGCCAGTGTCCAGAAGAGTTTAGCTCCAACAATTATCAAACACACTTGAACCAGTTAATCAAGAGCTGCGTCCCAAATCGCATACTTATGCACTATTCTACTTTTTTTGTAGTATAAATAGTGTAAGTAGTGTGTTCACACTGAAAACTCTAAAAATAATGAGTGCACTTTAATTACCCGGATGATGCACTCATTCAGCCGCTAAAATGAAGTGTGGAATGATGGACACTTCACGCACTCAATGACCGCAAGTTTGCTTACGTAGCGGAAGGGGCGGAGCTATCGGACGCACATGTTGAATAACTTTATTTATTTTTGATGGTGAAAGCAAAATTCTCCTACGAGAGTGAATATTGCGCCTCCCGATGGCGAATGCGACAATACTCACGGCAGGTATTATTTGATAAGTCGATCGTTTATTTCACTGATTTGGCAACCATCAAACGTCATCAGAGAAACGGTTTGAATTTCCGTTTAGTAAAAAAA